CTCAAAAAAAAAAAAAAAAAAAGAGTTCTCTAATCCCCCCCCCCGAGCAATACAACGGATAATTAAAAATAAAAAAAAAAGGAAAAGAATCGATAAACTGTTGAGACCAAGGAGAAGGGAACGGTAGGTAGGTAGGTAGCGAAAGGGGTGAAATTGAGAGAAGACTATAGACGGGTTTTTTTTTTGGGGGGGGGAGGGATATAGATAGAAATCATAATAAGAAAAAACGGAGGGATGCAAATACCTAACCAACAGGAATGAATACCCTCTTAAAGTTTTTGAGGCCCTATGATTGGAGGAGCCCTATGCTTTCACAATCTACCTACCTACCTACCTACCTACGAGTACTTTTTTGGCCTATGCTTGCAGTTCCTTCCTTCCTTAGGGCCCTCCTTAGGAGTAGTGGTGGGTAGGGAGGTAGTGAAAGGCAAAAAAAGACTTTGAGAGAAGAATATATAGTTAAGATTACAAAAAAAAAAAGAAAAGAAAAAGAAAAATAAAAAGAAAAAAAAGAAGAATTACCTCACCTTTCCCCGCCCAACGTCGCTGCGCGCCACAAGCACAGTACCCCCTCCTTGGCTTGATGATAGGTTGTACCGAAAAATCGTATCGTGGAGGGATTCGAACGCACGAACGGTTACATGTGTGCAGCAGAACATGCTCGCACTACCATCTTCACCCGAATACAACGCCCGGCCGTTTATGGCTGTATTTGGGGCAACATCCAGTCTAGGTGCGGCGATAATCACCGGGGGTTCTATTCGGGTGAAGACGGTAGGACCAGTTCGACTGAGCTCGGAGCGTAATTGCGGTCAGATGCAGCCGGAACAGGCTGTAATTCCGTTCAGATGCATCCGGGAAGGAAACTGAGCTCGGAGCGTACTTGCGGTCAGATGCAACCGGAACAGACGGTAGGACGATTTCGAATGAGTTCGGAGCGTAATTGCGGTCAGATGCAGCCGGAACAGGCTGTAATTCCGGCCAGATGCATCCTGGGAAGGAAACTGAGCTCGGAGCGTAATTGCGGTCAGATGCAACCGGAACAGGCCGTGATTGCGGTCAGATGCAGCCGGAGCAGGCTGTAATGGCGGTCAGATGCATCGAGGAAGGAAAAGTCCTGGTGGGGGAGTATGCCCTCGTTCGCGACCCAGGCAAGTAGAGCTGAGGCTACCCCCATAGGCTTACCACGGGGTGCAGAAGAAATATGGGCCAGGTCACCAGGCCCTTTCTTGAAAATTGCACGTACGATCCCTGTGACTGAGAGTACACACAGTTCTACTGTGGCTCAGATCGTGAGTACGAGCCCTGCCGGAGTCAGTCAGATGCATATAATAAAGGTAGGGCCAATCCCCAGTTTCTTTTTTTTTTAACCACCAGTACTTCGCCCAACTATAGATGCCAAGCCTGGAATGCCCCTGCGCCGATTTTCGCCGAAGCGCCGGGTACCGTTTCAAAATTGTTTTGGCTGGCGCTTCCAGCCATTGAGGTCCGGTACCCCGAGGTGGTCGTCAGGAGAGGTGGTCGTCGGGAGGGTGGGCATTTGAGGTTTTGGGGCCTTGCAAGGGCCAG